GGAAGGGCTCAGAGGGGCTCCAGAGAGTCCTGTGGTGAGAATGAGGCGAGGGGGTGGGTCCCAGGCAGGACGGGGCTCCTCAGGTCACAGGACCCCTCCTCTACTTGGTTCTAGGAGCCACTGAGACCATCAGTCCAGCGCAGAACAGCTCAGACCCCAGTTCAGGGGAGTCAGGAGGATTCTCAGGTATGGGATAGGACTCTGAGGGTCACGTCCTGGCCAGGGGAGGTGGCTGCCCTGGGTGGACATGTGGGGATCCTGACTTCCGCGACCTCTGACCTCTGTGTCCAAATCCCAGCCTCACCTCCCCAGGACTACACAGTGCAGAACCTCATCCGCTTGGGCCTGGCTGGCCTGGTCCTGCTGGTCCTCGGGATCCTGCTGTTTCAGGCTCAGGACAGCCAGAGAGGGACCCGAGATGCAGCCAGGAGGTGAACAGGAGACAACAGGGCACACTGAGAGGGCAGAGCTGGGAGCCGAAGGACCCTCAGGAGTCTGAAGGCCACCTGGACAGGTGGGGCTGCACCTGAGACTGTCCTGGCAGCAGAGGTGACTGGGTGCAGGACCAGCTGGGTGCTGGCTGAGAGCCTTCCCCACCATGCTGTACGCACCCAGGGCTGGCCCACCGCTCTCTGCAGCCCTCCATGCGCCAGTGCCCACTGGGAGCTGTCTGTGAAGATGCCCCTGAAACACGGGACATGCAAGCCACAGGCTGGTGTCTGAGGGACTGTGTAAGGGGCGCTGGTCCTGTGGACATGACTGTGAAAAAGTCGCATTAAAACCCTGAGAGTCCTGCTGTGTGTTTGCTCTTACTGTCCACGTCCCTCCTCCCACCCTCCACGTGCTGAGGCACCACCACGTCACCAGGTCGTGGTGCTAAATCCAAATTCCTCTGCTCACTGCTGGAGTGTAGAGAAGTATCGACCTGCAGTGTCACCTACAGTCACCTCCTGACATGGCTCCCTGGGTCCTGCAGGGTTTCTCTCTTCATGGACAATGAGGTTTTTTGTTTGTTTGTTTTTGGTTTTTGTTTTTTTTCCTTTAATTTTTATTGTTGGTTGTTCAAAACATTACATAGCTCTTGACATATCATATTTCACACTTTGATTCAAGTGGGTTATGAACTCCCATTTTTACCCCGTATACTGATTGCAGCATCACATCGGTTACACATCCACTGTTTTACATATTGCTACACTAGTGTCTGTTGTATTCTGCTGCATTTCCTATCCTCTACTATCCCCCTCCCCTCCCCTCCCCTCTTCTCTCCCTACCCCCTCTACTGACATTCATTTCTCCCCCTTGTATTATTTTCCCCTTTCCCCTCACTTCCTCTTGTATGTAATTTTGTATAACCCTGAGGGTCTCCTTCCATTTCCATGCAATTTCCCTTCTCTTTCCTTTTCCCTCCCACCTCTCACCCCTGTTTAATGTTAATCTTCTTCTCATGCTCTTTGTCCCTACTCTGTTCTTAGTTACTCTCCTTATATCAAAGAAGACATTTGGCATTTGTTTTTTAGGGATTGGCTAGCTTCACTTAGCATAATCTGTTCTAATGCCATCCATTTCCCTGCAAATTCTATGATTTTGTCATTTTTTAATGCAGAGTAATACTCCATTGTGTATAAATGCCACATTTTTTTTATCCATTTGTCTATTGAAGGGCATCTAGGTTGGTTCCACAGTCTTGCTATTGTGAATTGTGCTGCTATGAACATCGATGTAGCAGTGTCCCTGTAGCATGCTCTTTTCAGGTCTTTAGGGAATAGACCGAGGGTTTTCTGCTGAAATAACTGGTTTGTCATGAGAAAGTCCCATGACAATAACTGATCTGATATAAGGTTTTGAGTCTTCAGGAAAAGTATGATTAGTTGATTTGGGTCCCCCAACTGCTGTCTTTTCCTCAAATGACACTTGTAGACAGTCAGCATGTTTATTGTGGGACCAACACAAAGGTAGTTGGGCACTGTAGCCAGAACAATTGAATCCAGTCACAGGATTGGGAGTAATAAGGGTGTCTGTAAATCCTCCCATCATACATGAGTCATTAGCAAACACTGGGGCGGATTCTCCAGTCCACACAGCTGGGTGTACCAGAGGTGGATCTGGGAATCATGTCCAGTAGGTTTCTGCCTGATTCCCTCTTACCTGACAGACCAGCAGGGCTACTACTGCAGCGAGCATCATGGTTGGAGATTTGACTTTCCTTGTTGTCGAATCAGTTGTTCAGTCTGCAGTGTCAAATTCCTCAGGCCCTTCCCTGAGGGTGGCTTCAGCGTTGGGTCTCTCTGGGCCATCTTTCTCCCCCTCTTCCTTGGAGAGTTCCTCTGGTCGGGGGAGTCGGGTCTGGCATCTCTGGGTTGATCTTCAGTTGTTTGAATCTTGGTTCTAGGTCCTCCAAGCCTGATGGAGCATTCAGGTACCCAAATAGGACGAGAAGCACCTTCTGGGAAAATACAAGCTTGACATTTACCCCATAATCACAGGATCTGGTCTTCCCATTGGCCAGTCTGCAAATCTTTCAACCAAACTCGGCCTGAAGGGCCTGTTGCCGTGGAAGACGAGTGTCGCTCAGCTGCAGTGTGACCTTCTGAGTCACAGTTTAGAACATTTTAGAGCATGATTGAGGCTATTTTGGGGGGCCCTAGTCCTATCTCCCCCATTTAGTTTTTGTAATTGTAGCTTAATAGATAAATGAGCTCGCTCTACAATAGCTTGACCTTGAGGGTTGTAAGGAATACCTGTTTTATGGTCAATATGAAACTCTTGGCAAATTGCTAAAAGAAGAGCTTACATAAGCCGGTACACTATCAGTTTTAATCTCTAAAGGACATCCTAATACTGGAAAGGCAGCTAATCAATGAGAAATAACATGTTGAGTGTTTTCTTTTGCACGGGCTGTGGCAAAGATGAATCTAAAATAAGTATCTACAATTACTTGTACATAACATTGTTTATCAAATTGAGGAATGTGAATTACATCCATTTGCCATAATTGATTTGGTTTTTATCGGGGTTTTATTCCAGATGGGAAAGATGGAGTGTGTCTAACACACTGGGGGCAGTTACGTACAATTTGATGAGCTTGCTCTCTAGTAATGTTGGGTTTTTTTATGTAAGCTAGAGGCATTTTGATGATGCAAAGAATGTGAAGCTTGTGCAGAGTCATACAAAGACATTTGTTGACAAATAGCAACTGATTTATCCATCTTATCATTACCTGATGTTAGAGGCCCTGGAAGATTAGTGTGGGCCCATATGTGGCCTATGAAACATGGGTGCTTTTGTATTTGCACCATCCTTTGTAGAATACGAAACAAATTGAATAGCTCTTGTGATGATATTTTTTATAACTCCAACTGCCTATAAGATGTCAGAGTAAACATTGATGGGCTCCTTTGCAAAATGACTTAAAGCACAAATGAGAGCTTGTCCTTCTGCTCATTGGGCAGAAGCGTATGAGGTTTGCATTACCTCTGTATGAGCATGACTATAAAAACCTGCTTTACCTGAACTTGAGCCATCAGTGAATACTGTTAGTGCACCATTTATTGGTTGTGTATGTACAATCCTTGGAAAAATGAATGAAGTGACCAATGCAAATTGGATGATTTTATCATGAGGATAATGACTCTTTATCTGACCAGGGAAATTAGCAAAAGCTACTTGCCAAGTATGAGAAGTTTGGAAAAGCCAAACATTCTGTTGAGCAGAAATGAAATGATCATAATATTAGGTTCTGATCCAGCCATCTTTAAGCTCTTTTTCTGCCCGTTATCACTAATTGAGCAACAGAATTATGAAAAGGAGTTAATGACTTTTGAGGAGAGTGGGCTAAATGAATCCACTCAATAACTCCCAACGATTGCCATATTGCCGCTGTAGGAGCGTATGCAGTTGGGAATATCATCAAATATATAGGCTCTTGTGGATTAATTCTAGTAAACTGAACATTTTTAATAGCAATTTCAACTTTCCCCAAAGCTGTTCTTGCTTCTGTTATGAGCTGAGGAGAAGTTGGAGGAGGATCTCCCTGTAATATTTGAAATAAAGGACTTAAATCTGAAGTAGTTGGCTTTAAAGATGGCCTTAGCCAGTTAATATCTCCTAATAATTTTTTAAAATCATTAAGGTTGTACAGCTTCTTGACTCTTATTTGTAAGTTTTGAGGACGGACTGTCTGTCCTTCAATCACTTGACCTAGATATTGAGAAGGAGAGGTCCTTTGCACCTTCTGAGGTGCAATGCACAAACCCATTGCCGTGAGTTCTCTAAGTGGACAAAATTTTTAAGAGTACATCTGAATTAGCATGTCCACCATGCGACCAGTGCACTGGTTTCATTAATGAGGTTCTTGGTATAAAAGTTAACTAGCGAGATCAAAATAAACACACAGACTCAGTTACCTTTTTCTATGACCAGGTCCGAGACGGCTCCCCCGTCTGGTTCCCACCTCGAACCACCCAGTAGGGCAGCAAGGATTACTCAGGGCTAGCAGGAGAGAGAGAGAGGGAGCACGCCAGGGAGTAGCCTTTTATTGGGGAACAAGAAATTCAGGGGAGAATTTCATCCAATGAAGGTTGAGGGGGGCCGCACTCCAAGGTCAGGGTCAGTGATTGGCCCCCGGGGTCAGTGGTCAGTCACACCCCCACACGGACAGGCTCTCGCACCAGGAGAGGGCCGGGAAAGCTCCGACACAGTTTAGCCAGAGCGCCTCAGACCCAAACCAGGAGTTGCTCAGTCACGTGTGAGAATGGCTCCCCACAAGCATGAGCTAAATGCATGTCATCCATGAAATGAGTAATACATGCTGAGGAATTTCTCCCTCACAGGTGTGGTGGCCTGTGCCACAAAATTTTGACGTAAAGTTGGACTATCACATATTCCCTGAGGCAGCACATTCCAGCAATATCTTTTAACTGGTTCTTTAAAATTAATTGCTGGGACACTAAAGAAAAACTTTTTACAGTTGTCTGGGTACAAAGGTACAGAGAGAAAACAATCTTTTAGACCTACTACTATCAAATAATAATCTAAAGGAATCGCTGTAGGAGAAGGAAGCCCAGATTGCCGTGCTCCCGTGGGCTCTATAACACAATTAGTACCTCTAAGGTCTTGTAATAATGTTCATTTACCAGAGTTTTTCTTAATTACAAAGATGGGTGTGTTCCCAGGGCTGAGCGTAGACTCTAAATGACCAGCTTGAAGTGGTTCCTCAACTATCATGTGGGCTATGTTAAGTTTTTCCCCTGTCAGGGGCCACTGACTAGCTCAGATTGGCTCTTCTATGAGCCAATTAATTTTTTCTGCTGTTCTCTGGGTTGGGGATAAGATCAGGGCCCCTACCAAAAATGTTGGCTGGGTGCACTAATTAATCTCTGTTGGGAAGATTGGGTTACAGGTGGGTTCCCTTCCTGAAAATCTCCCTCAGTTTCTCAAGGAATATATTTTTGATTGAGTCCCTCAAATGACATGTTAGAATTTGGAGTTACTAATAATGATCCTAAATGGATAAAAACATCATCCCTACCCCATAAATTTACTGGTAAGGTGTCTAAAACATAAGGCTTAAAAATTCCAGCATCACCATCTTTATCTTCCCAGTGAAGATACTGGGCACTTTGAACAGGTTGAGAGATAGACCTATGCCCTCTAAGTTGGTGGGTGCAATATGTAAAGGCCAATTTGGGGGCTAAAATCTAAGAGATAAAACAGATTCCTCTGCCCCAGTCTCTACGATACCTTGACATTTTTTATGATTGATTTTAAGTTCCAGCAGGGGGCGCTCCTGTTGGA